GAAATCATATGCATATATGTGCTCCTGGGGGGGTGCAGGTCAAAACCTGAATTATCTGGGGTACCACCTCCAAAGTCTCTTTCAGTGCACCTGCCTCCTGAAAACCAGACACCCCAACACTGAGGAGCCTTGTACAAACAAAGCACAGCTCCCGGGGGGATGTCATGTGCCTTCATGGGGCCTGAGCTACAGTGTTACCTGAAAGGCTAATTCTTGGTTTCATGCTTCCTTGCTACAGGAAATTGGATTCCCAAGTAGACATGATTTGCTCAAGCCCTTTTTGGAAAGGGGCTACCACAGTTCAGGCAATGGTTCAGCTACGCAAAACTCCAATCCATTAGGATCTAGCACATGTGGAAATGATTAATGTGTAACTGCTGTGTGTCATCTTGGCCATCAAGGACCACAAAGCCACAGCAAAAGTTGAAATACATACAGGAAAATCCTTATGTTTAAGCCAACTATACTTTTCCAGAAGATGAAATGACCATTACTTTTCCCATTAAAAGGCAAGGAGACTGGGTAGAGTACGAGATTTCACTAAAGCAATCCTTGGGAGGAAGCCTATGACTCATGAAATCAATCCCAGGCCGAAGGGCAGGGAGGAGCTTCCAGGAACACCTTAGTGTAATAGTGCTCTACAATAAACCCCTAAGTGGGCAAAATCTTCATTTTGTTGATGAGGAAGATGAGATTCAAAGAGCAAATCACTTTTTTTCCTTGCCCTAGTTCTCCAGTGGGTAAACTGAAAACAGTACTCAACATCCACAGCCATGAAGGCCAGCTTTCTAAAAAGAGCCACAGAGAAAACCATCAAAAAAGAAATAGTAACTCCCTTTCCAAAACAAAAGACAAAAAACCTGTCTCGGCTGGCTGTGGTGGCTCACAGCACTTTGGGAGGCCTAGGCAGGCGGATCACTTGAGGTCAGGGGTCCGAAACCAGCCTGGCCAACATGGCGAAACCCCCTCTCAACTAAAAATACCAAAAGTAGCCGGTCATGATGGTGGGCACCTATAGTCACAGCTACTCAAGGGGCAGAGGCAGGAGAATTGCTTGAACCTGGTGGTGGGGGTGAGGGTGCAGAGGGGGAAGGGGGGAGGTTGCAGTGAGATGAGATTGCACCATTGGGTAGGTGACAGAGAGAGACTCTATCTCAAAACAAACACACAAATAAACAAACGAAAAACCCTTTCTCAATCTCTTATCTTCGAGAGACCAAAGGATTCCCTATTTCATAAATAATATTGGGAAAACTGGCTAGCCATATGGAGAAAACTGAAACTGGACCCCTTCCTTACACCTTATACAAAAATTAACTCGAACTGGATTAAAGACTTAAATTACAAGACCTAAAACCATAAAATCTCTAGAAGAAAACTTAGGCAATACCATTCAGGACATAGGCATGGGCAAACACTTCATGGCTAAAACACCAAAAGCAAAGGCAACAAAAGCCAAAATTGACAAATGGGATCTAATTAAACTAAAGAGCTTCTGCACAGCAAAAGAAACTAGCATCAGAGTGAACAGGCAACCTACAGAATGGGAGAAAAATTCTGCAATCTATCCATCTGACAAAGTGCTAATATCCAGAATCTATAAAGAACTTACACAAATTTATAAGAAAAAGACAACCCCGTCAAAAAGTGGGTGAAGGATATGAACAGACACTTCTCAAAAGAAGGCATTTATGTGGCTAACAAACATGAAAAAAAGCTCATCGGCCGGGCGCGGTGGCTCAAGCCTGTAATCCCAGCACTTTGGGAGGCCGAGGCGGGTGGATCACGAGGTCAAGAGATCGAGACCATCCTGGTCAACCTGGTGAAACCCCGTCTCTACTAAAAAAAAAATACAAAAAATTAGCTGGGCATGGTGGCACGTGCCTTTAATCCCAGCTACTAAGGAGACTGAGGCAGGAGAATTGCCTGAACCCAGGAGGTGGAGGTTGCGGTGAGCCGAGATCGCGCCATTGCACTCCAGCCTGGGTAACAAGAGCGAAACTCTGTCAAAAAAAAAAAAAAAAAAGAAAAAAAGCTCATCAACTCTGGTCATTAGAGAAGTGCAAGTCAAAACCACAACGATGGCCAGGCAAGGTGGCTCATGCCTGTAATTCCAGCACTTTGGGAGGCCGAGGCAGGCAGATCACCAGGTCAGGAGTTTGAGACCAGCCTGACTAACATGGTGAAATCCCATCTCTACTAAAAATACAAAAATTAGCCAGGTGTGGTGGGTGCGTGCCTGTGATCCCAGCTACTCAGGAGGCTGAGGCAGGAGAATTGCTTGAACCCAGGAGGTGGAGGTTGCAGTGAGCCGAGACTATGCTATTGCACTCCAGCCTGGACGACAGAGTGACACTCCATTTAAAAAAAAAAGAAAAAAACACAACGAGATACCATCTCATAACAGTTAGTATGGCGATCATTAAAAAGTCAGGAAACAACAGATGCTGGAGAGGATGTGGAAAAATAGGAATGCTTTTACACTGTTGGTGGGAGTATAAATTAGTTCAACCATTGTGGAAGACAATGTGACAATTCCCCAAAGATCTAGAACCAGAAATACCATTTGACCCAGCAATCCCATTACTGGCTATGTAGCAGGACCTGCAGCGGACAAAACCTCTCAAACACCGAACTGAGAAAGGCAGTGGCTTTTTATTCAGCTGGGAGCTGTGGCAGGCTAATGCCTTAACAACCGAGCTCCCCAAGAAGCAGCTCTTTTCCCCTTTCATAGGCTTACAACTCTAAAGGAGAAAACTGAGGCGAAATGGTATAACTGTCCATTGGCTGGACAATTGACCTCACAATCTTTGGGTTCATTGATTCGTTAGTTCATATGCAGAAATAGGCAGGGGAAGGCGTTTACAGAGACAAGACAAAGGCAATAAATCATTAGTTGGCAGAGGTATTTTGAGGAGGGGGGCTCAGTCATGTAAACATGGAGGATATGACCCAGTGCCGGGCTCTGGCTGGTAGTGATATTCTTTGCAACACTTTCAAGGCTTATAGATAGCTTAGACGCTGGGAACTGAAAAGGGAGTTATCTTCCCAGTCCTTGGGCCTTGTTATGGCCCAGTCAGTAGCGTCAGCAAGTCCCTTGGCCATGGATTCCAGTTCTTTGGTATTTTATCTTTACCCTCCTTCTCATATGGAGGGAGGAGTGGAGGCCTTCAAGGAGGGAGATGGGAAGGGGGTCTCCCCTCTTAGATATATACCCAAAGGATTATAAATCATTCTATAATGACACATGCACACATATGTTTATTGCAGCACTGTCCACAATAGCAAAGACTTGGAACCAACTCAAATACCCATCAATGATAGACTGGATAAAGAAAATGTGGCACATATGCACCACAGAATACTATGCAGCCATAAAAAAGGATGAGTTCATGTATTTTGCAGGGACATGGATGATGCTCGAAACCATCATTCCCAGCAAACTAACAGGAACAGAAAACCAGGCACTGCATGTACTCACTCAAAAGTGGGAGTTGAACAATGAGAACACATGGATACAGGGAGGGTAATATCACACACTGGGGCCTGCGGGGGTCGCGCAGAGGCTAGGGGAGGGAGAGCATTAGCAGAAATACCTATGTAGATGACAGGTTGCTGGCTGCAGCAAACCACCATGTCACAGGTATACCAATGTAACAAACCTGCACATTCTGCACATGTATACCAGAACTTTATAATGAAAGAAAATTAAAAATATAAAAAATAAATAAAAATAAAACATCCACAGAAAAATGTGACTAATCCATACAATTGGCTAATAGTTACCTTCCCTCCTTAACTCACTCACCTAAAATCAGGAGAAAAGCAACTCAAAGTCACAACTTTTAGATGCAAGTCATAAAATATGCGAGTAATTCGCCACTGAGGTTGCCTTCCAAGAAAAGGCACAGTGGAGCCTTGATGAGAGAGTTTTGCTCCCTTACCGCGTCGTGTACGTGTGGCGGGAAAAAGTGGCCAGTGCGGCTGAACTGCGGCTGGGTAGGGCGGGCCACCAGCGGCCAGGGCGCCTAGCAGGCCAGACTGGACGAGGAGGGGATGGGAGCAGTCTGTCACCTCGCACCCGGCCGGCCTTGCCACGTGTCCCCACAGGGAGAAAGGAGGGGAGCAGGAGGAAAAGAGGCACTTTCTCAGCATACAAAGGCCCTACTCCTGCTCCTATCCGAGCACTTTAGGGGCTGGCGGGCTTTGACGGGTTTTGTTCCACGTGCTTTCACTTTGAGAAATTGCACCGGCTCTGCCTGGTTTTCTGAAGAGACGGCCAAGTATGGCATCCCCTAGGGGCCGGGAGGCGGCGGGCTCGGGGAGGCGCGCTCCAGGGCCAGAACTGGCGCAAACCCCGGGCTCCCCGCCACCCCGACCTGCTCCACCTCCCCGCCCCCTGCCACAGGAGGCGTCCTGGCCCGGGGAGGGTCGCAGTGGCGTTAAGGGGCGCCGGCAGTAACCCGAGCGGCCATACCTAATTCTCTCCCACTGTGCGGTTCCCATTTCACAGACAAGACCGCGGGGGCCCTAGGCAGGTAGCGGCTCGTCCACGCTCCCGCGCCTGGGAAGCAAGCCCAGGTCAGTCCTGGCGCCCGGTGTCCCCAGGGGAACTCTCACGTGCATCGAGTTGATGCTGGCAGTGCCTTCTCTGGCTCCCTCGATCATTTCCTCCCCACTTTTCCCGCGAGGGCCTTAGACGCTCCGGGGGCTAAGAGAGGGAGCCCCGCCAGCCCCGCACTCGACGCCTAGGCCCCCAGCCCTCCCCTTCGTTCCGTCCCTTGGCAGCAACAGGTGCGCGGCACGCGGCAACCTGGCGCCGGCTCCGGAGAAAGTTTCCCTGGCCGCCGCGCGCTGTTTACGGGCTCCTGGTGCAGTGCTGAGACCCGGAGCTTTCGGGCAGGCGGAGCCATTGAAACCCGAGACGCTGGGAGGAGCCGTCGGGGTGCGCGGGGAGGGAAGCGGGAGGCTCTGGGCCCGGCCAGAGACGCTCCCCTTACCTGCGGCTCCGCAGGCGGCCTCAGTCTTCATCCCAGGCTCAGGCAGTACTGCGCCCCGCCCCGGAGGCTGTCCCCGTGACCCTCGCATCCTCCTCTCTCTCATTCCTCCCCCGGGGCTGTCCCTGCCACCCGCCCCCTTCCCCTCCCCCAGGGTCACCACCGAGCTGTCTACCCTGCTACCAACCCCTGGCTCCCCAGTTCGCAAAGAGCGTTGACTCCACCTCCCCAGCTGATTCGCAACCCCCAGGAGAATTTATCTCTCTTTCATTTGTGGGGAGAAGAAACCGTTAGCGCCCCCACCCCCCACTCACACGCACGCCCTTGCCACTGCCCCGGCCCGAACTAAGCACATCCCAACCCCCTCCCACGCCCCTTCACACTTCTATTATTTCTATTTCTTTGAACAAGAATCATTTGCGTTAATCCTTTTCGAAAATGTACAAGTTGTTTCACTCCAGTAAGCTTATTTAAAAAAAAAAAAAAAAAAAGGAAGAAAATCAGGAAGAGGAAGAAGGAGGAGAAGGAGAAAGAAGAAGAAAGAGGAGGAGAGGGGCAGGAAAAGTAAATTCACACAGTTGAAAAGGGAGGAGCTACTGGGAGACTGAGGCAGGAGAAACGCTTGAACCAGGGAGATGGAGGTTGCAGAGAGCTGAGATTGTACCACTGCACTCCAGCCTGGCAAAAGAGTGAGACTCTATCTCAATAAAAACATTTTTTTAAAAAGTAAAATATATTTCTTCAAGGTATGAAGAAGTATACATTTTTTGGTGTATGTTTTTGTTACATTTTTTAAAGTTCTCTTGTTTTAAAAAAATTACATGTATAATGCCTGAACAGTTCCTTTAAAACACGTGTGTGTGCGCGTGTGCATGTATACAGTATATGTAAAGAATAATGAACTGAAAAGGTCCCTGCTTCTCATTTAATTCCTATTTCCAAAGTCAGTATTAGTCAAATACCTCTTCTTTTCATTTTAGTTCCTGAGTTTTGCATCTTGCATGAGTAACTTGAACCTACTCCAAAACTAGAACATAATTCTTGTAAGTTTACTTCCAGTATTTCTGCTGTTTTGATTTTTAGACATGAATTTTTAATCCAATCTTAATTTACTGACCTATATGGCATAGGAATGGATTTAACTATATCTCATGCTTCCCACATCATTAAATAGTATATTTTTTCTACTAATAACTTGAATTATCTCTTTAATCATATATAAAATTATCATATACATTCTAGCTGTTTTATTGACAGTTTTACTATTTCTACAACAATACTGCATTATTTTAATTACCGTAGTATTTAGCATATTTTTAGATATCTGGGAAGGCAAGCCCTTTCTTGTTGAATATTGAAACCAGTTAGTTAAGGATACCGGGGTTTGATGAGAATGCATCTAGTCTAACATCAGTTTGCATAAACATTTTTAACGCTTCAAATCTTCCCATTACAGCATTACAGAATATAGCATCCTTCGGTTTATTTGGGTCTTTTACGTTTTTTTGCTAAAGTTCCAAGTTCCACAGTTGTTTTTTTTTTTTTGAGACAGAGTCT